CCCCAAAACCCCAAAACCCCAAAACCCCAAAACCCCAAAACCCCTTTCAAAAGGGATTTATAAGAATAAGAAATAAGATATAATCATTTATAATCGTATCTAGAAATGTCTAAGGTTAATATGTTCGCAGCCTTTGCTAGTGATAGCGAGGATGAGTACACGGCTGTAGAGTCTAAGAAGAAAGCAGACAAGAAGCCAGCCAAAAAGCAAAAGGATGACGCCAGACAGGTCGTTGGTAGTAGAAGAGCTGAAGATGGTGATTTTGACTATACTACGAACAAACCCAAAGAAACCAGAGGTAGAGGTACCAGAGGCAGAGCCAGAGGTAGCAGAGGCGGCAGAGGAAGAGGCGGTCATGACGGCGAGCACAGACCAAGAGGAGAAAGAGGCTTTGGAAGAGGCAGAGGTAGAGGTAGAGGAGGTTATAACAAAGATTATACTGGCCCAAGAGATACTTACTCAAAATTCGCCACAAGAGAGAATGTAAAAGATGAAGCTGGTGCTACTGAAGAGCAAACACAAGAGGAAGGACATTATGACCAAAAGAGATATTACGATAAGAGGTCAGGTACTGGACATGGTAAGGAAGTAAAGAAAGGTGGCGCAGGTAAAGGAGGCTGGGGAAATCCTGACCAAGACAAGAAGCTTGAGCATATGGGAGCTGAAGATGCTGCTGAAGCTGTGACTGAAGTTGTTGAAGATGATCAAAAACATTATGAAAAAGATCAAAAACATCATGAAGAAGAGCAAAAGGAAGAGGAGGAGGTCAATAACTTGACCTATAGTGAATACATTGCTCAAAAGAAGTCCGAAGGGAGCACTTTAAAGAAAGGAAAAGCGAGAAAGCCTGAGGAAATTAAGGTATCAAATATTCAGAAATACGAGAAAACTAACACTGGAGTGAAGCAAGTAAAGTCAAATATCAAAAGTCATGAAGCTTACGCTATGAGCGGAGTGAGCGGAGATATTGAAGTCGGTTTCCAAGCTATTGGTGATGAACCAGAAGAATCATTTGAGAGAAGAGGTAGAGGAAGAGGCAGAGGTAGAGGTGGCTACAGAGGACACCAAAGAGACAACGAAGGGCCTCATAAACCCTCCAGAGGAGGCAGAAAGAAGTTTGTTGCAAATGATGATGAATTCCCAGCTTTATAATTAGATATGCCTATCTAACAACAACATTAAACCAACCCTGTGTCACCACAAAAATTTCACTCAAACTCAATCTTCCCCACAATGAACGGGGTTTTGGGGTTTTGGGGTTTTGGGGTTTTGGGGTTTTGGGGTTTTGGGG